GTACACAATGGCATAATACTCAGCATTAAAAGAGAATAAAATGATGGCATTTGCAGGTAAATGGATGGAGTTGGAGAATGTTACGCTAAGTGAAATATGCCAATCTCAAAAAACCAGGGACCAAATGTTTTCTCTGATAAGTAGATGCTAATTCATAATGGGTGGGGGTGCATGGATGAGTGGAGGAAATTTGGATGAGGGAGTGGGGAGGAGGCATGGGGGTAGGAAAGATGGTGGAATGAGATGAACATTATTACCCTAAGTACCATGATTGCACAAATGGTGTGACTCTCTTTCACATACAACCAGAGAAGTGAAAAATTCTACTCCACTGATCAGTTATACATGAGAGCAGAAAGTTCTTCAATTCATTTTCACAAATGGAGTAGAATTAATAAAATTAATCAAAAAATAAATAAATGCTGTTCCCTCACTGACCTCCCCACCTTTCCTTGGAGATTTGAGACAGAAAAGATCTCTATCTTCCTCAAGTCTGGCTTTGAATAAACATGTTTTCCTGTATCAACTTCTGTTTCTCTAACTTTCTTTGAGCAGCATGCAGCAAAACTTTTGATTTTAGTAACAAAATGACTGGGGTCTATCTCATGGTGCTGTTTTAATAAAAAATACAGAGTTAGATCAGTGTGTCAGCCGGGCATGGTGGTGCACACCTATAATCCCAGTGGCTCAGGAGGCTGAGGCTGGAGCATTTGGAGTTCAAAGCCAGCCTCAGCAACTGCAAGGCAATAAGCAACTCAGTGAGACCCTGTCTATAAATAAAATACAAAAAATTGGGCTGGGGATATGGCTCAATGGTTGCGTGTCCCTGAGTTCAATCCTCTAGAACTGCCTCCCCCGCCTCCCCCCCAAAAAAACCCCCAACAAACTTAGTGTATCATGCATCTGGTGAACAGGCATATAGGCCTTGGTAGGAACCAAGGCTGGGGCTTTTGGTCACCATGACCCATTTCTTCACTTTTTTTTTTTTTTGCAGTGCTGGGAATTAAACCCAGGTTTCACACATGCTAGGCAAGTGCTCTATCACTGAGTTACTCACAGCCCCTGTTTATTTTTTCTTCCTTGATGACCTAATCCTATGCACACATGTTAAATTGTTTTTATTTTTGCTTTGTCCACTGCCCCCCCAAGATTTATTGAAAAAAAAAACTGTATAAGTATTACAGTGTGATGTTTTGATATATATATATGTGTGTGTGTGTGTGTGTGTGTGTACGTACACACACATCATGGAACTGATTATCATAATCAAGCTAATTAACATACTCATATTTCTCATAGTTACCTTTAGTTTTTACTTTAAGATCTACTCTCTTAGCAAACTTCAAGTTTGCAATACAGTATTACTAACTGTAGTCATCATACTGTAAGTTTGATCTTCCATTCCTTGTTTCCTATCTACAGCAGCTCTGCCTCCCCTGGGTAGGTGGAAGAGCAAATGTCCTTGCTTTGCTGCTGGACCTCTCAAGCAGTGAGATGTTCATGCATTCTGTGTTTCCTGTTCTATAGTGTGGTAGATTGAATAAAGACTCCCCTCCAAGTTATCCCTGGAGACTATGATTATTACCTTATATGGTAACAGGGATTTTACAGGTGTGATTAATTTAAGGCTTTTGTGATAGGAGATTGCTGGCACTAAAGGAGAGGAATGCTCAGACTGAAACAGAGCAATTCCCTTTGTAAGATGTTTAACAATTGCTACCCCTCCCCCCCCCMAAAAAAAACAACCCTTTTCCCTAGATCTTTTAATAACCCATCTCTTTCACATGGTATTCTGAATTCTGAAGAGAAGCTTCTGGTACCGCCCTCTTCTCTCCTCAGTTCCTTAACTCAAGAATTGACTTAAGAACTCTGTAAGAAAACAGAATGCAGAATGTGGCCCCAGGAGGTTGAATTTCCTTTTGATGTTCTGAGGAGGGAGAAAGTTAACAGAGCCACAGAGGTACAAAGGTACACTTTGAAGAGGAAGACTCCCACCTAGCATTGTGAATTTCCTGCCCACTGACTCAAAATACCCTCTTTTCTTCCACCTGGAGATGAAGATTTGAGATAAAAATGTCTCTATCTTCTTCAAAGTCGCCCTTGAATAAACCTATTCTCTTCCTGTAATTTCTGTCTCCCCAAGTTTTCAGTGGAGCTGTAAGCAGCAAGGACCCTTAATTCCAATAACAGAACAAGGAATGAAACTTTAGAAGATGGAAGTCAAGGAATTGGATTCTCCCTTACAGCCTCCAGAGGGTGTGCAGCTCTGCTAACACCTTGATCTTGCCAGGGGGAAACCCATTTTGGACTTCTGAACCCCTGAACTATAAGAGAATAAATGTATGTTGTTCTAAGCCACCAAGTTGTGATCATTGGTTTGGCAGCAATAGGAAATGAATACACATAATATTATATTAAAGCAACAGTATCTAGTGGATTTCAGGGTCAGTTCAAACTCAAGAGCTTTGATGCTGCCCTGAAGTCAGGGAGAGAGGACACATGGTCTGGGAGAGTACCTGCTCTGGAAGCTGTGGTGAGTCCAGGACCTCCAAGCCAACATAGAGACAGAGCCTAAGAAATACAGAGTAGGGGAGCCCGCAACCATGATGCTCCCACCCCTGAAGCAAAGAGGAGATAAGGAAGCTAATGTGCTTTCCCCCAGGTGTGGGAAAGGCAGGAAAGAGCAAATAATTCCAAGGTCAGGCCTGGTGAAAAAGGAAACAACACATGGTAGTTCCATTATAGCAGGTACACAAATCTAGTCAGTCCCCAACCTATTTAATGGCTTTAAAATGGTGTAAAAGGGATGCAATTTCAGTAGAAATCACATATGGAGTTTTGAAATTTGATATTTTCCTCGGCTATCGATTTGTGTTCAGTCATGTGATCAGAAGGGGAAATCACTGACACTACAATGCATTGAGTTGCCAAGCTATGATGTTCAGTAGTTTAAGGCATTAAATGCATTTTTGACAATGTATTCTCAATTTACAATGGTTTTACTGGGATATAACCCTATTGTAATTCAGTGGCTGAGCACTTGCCTAACAAGTACAGGGCTCTGGGATCTCCACAAAAAATTTAAAAATAAGTAAATAAGGGAAGTCTTGCAATGTAATTTTAAAAATTATTGATGCATAATAACTATGCATAATAGAGAATTCATTGTTATATATTCATATGTGCATATGATTGGTTCAATTTCAATTTCATTCCCTAGGACCTTCTCTTATACTCCCCTCCTGTTGATCCTTCCTTTATCCTATTGAGCTCTCTTCTATTTTCATGAGACTTCTTTTTTCTCTCTAGCTTCCATTTATGAGAAAAAATAACACCTGACTTTCTGAGTCTGGCTTATTTCACTTAACATGGTGATGCTCTCTAGTTCCATCTATTTTCCTAAAAATGACACAATTTTGTTCTTTTTTATTGCTGAGTAGAACTCCATTGTGTATATTTACTTCATTTGTTGATGGACACCTAGGCTGGTTCCATAGTTTGGCTATTGTCAACTATGTTGCTATAAACATAGGCATGAATTTAGTGGTATATTATGCTGACTTTATGTCTTCTGGATAAAATACAGGGCGATGATATAGCAAGGTCATATAGTGGCTCCAAATTCTAGTCTTTTGAGGAAACTCCATACTTATTTCCATAATGGCTGTACTAATGTATAATCCCATCAATATCATGTAAGTGAAGCCAGATTTAAAATTAGGCAGTCTAATATGGAGGCCATGTTGAGAATAAATTTCCGGAAGAGTTGAGCAACTCTTAAAATGTTAATCAAGTCCCAAGAAAAGCCCTAGGCCCAAAGTCCATCCCAAAGAAATGTTAATAAACAGCCCAGGCAGATTTGAAGATAGTCCACCCCAAAGAAGTGTTAATGAAATCCTTCCTGCCCAGATTACTTCTTAGGCCCACCTGTATCCCACCCCTCGGGCCTTCCAACCTACATTCCATCCCCAAAACTATAAAAAGGGGAAACAAGAGGATTCCACCTCTTGGGTCCCCTTCTTCCTCCGGGAGGGGAGAAGTCTTTTCTGCTGTCCTTTAATAAACTTCTAATTTCTACTCTGACCTTGCCTCGTCGTGCTTCTCTGGTGTTATTCTTCAACATTGGGGAAGCAAGGACCGGTCAACAGTGGTAACATAAGAGTTCTTTTTCTCTCCACATCCTCTCCAGCATTTATTATTATTTCTATTCTTGATAAATTGCCATTTTGACCAAGGTGAGATCAAATCTCAGTGTAGTTTTGATTTGCATTTTTCTGATTGCTAGGGATGTTGACCTTGTTTTTATATGTATTTGTTAGCCATCTATAATTTTTCTTTTGAGAAATGTCTGTTTAGTTCATCTGCCCATTGATGCCTCAGTTTCTTCTGGGTCAACAGTTCTCCAGTGCCCATTCCTGGTCACTGGGCCTTGTGGCAAACAAGTGGAAGTTCCATGCCCATTAAGCACAGTCTCCCTTTTCCCTCAATGTGTTGGGAATGGAGGTGTCCAACCCCTTCTCCACTGCTCTCTGGAGACTTTACATCTATCCCACTTCTCCATGATTCATTTGGCACTGCCACTCTCTAGCTGTGAGGCCTCAAGTATTTAAAGGTTTAGGCCTTGTTTTTTCATCCTTAAGTGGGAGGAATTAAACAATCTGCTCTACAGCTCTATAAACACTGAGGTAATGATTATAAGAAATGAATAAGGGTATGGAGGAGGGGCTCTGCAGACATCACTAATCCTAGTCTTTTTAGGGAGAGGCAGGTATGGGAAGTGGAGTGCCTGAGGGAGGAAAGCTGCTTGAGCAAGGAGCCAACCCACTGGAGGCTAGGATCCAGCCCATGGTACCTTTCAGAAGCTCTAGTCTGTGTCCCCTATCTGATAGAACCTCCCTCACAAATGCAGCCTCCCCCACCAATGTACTTTCCTGCAATCCGGAGGATCCTGGCTTCTGCAATCCTACCCTTTCTTCAGTGGGCAGGCAGGGGGTGCTTACCTCCAGGCCATGTTTTTTCTTCAAACTTCAAGCTGGACAGTTCTGCCATCACCACCTTTGCTAAGGAAGCTGGGCCATCCGCTATCACTGGCAGCCCCCATGGACTCTCTGCAAGTGGGGAGTAGGGGAAATGTCAAAGCATAAATATCCTACATAAATATTCTTAATTTCTGGGAGAGATGGTATGAGATGATAGCAAGAGACATGTCCCAAGGAAGGCGGGAAATTGGGGCCTTGCCACAGGAAAGACTGGAAACTTCATCTTAATGTAGTTGCAAAGCTAACAGGCCTGAGTTCTGGGCTTCTGTGCAAGACCTTGTTCTTGTGTTTTATAAGCACAGTAGTCCCCATTCCCACCTTATCTTTGAGGGATACATTCCAAGGCCCCCAGTGGATGCATGAAACTGTAGATAGTACTGAACCCTATATATACTATATGTTTCCTCATATATATCTACCTATAAGCTTGAATTTATAAATTAGGCACAGTAAGAGACTAACAATAACTAAAAGTAAATAGGACAATTAAATATTATACTGATGTCATTGTAGCAGGCGTCTACTTCATACTTTGAACATAACCCTTGCTACTCTGCCACTGCCACTTATTTGAAAACTTTCTCTTCTCCCTTTCCCACTCCCTAGCCTTAGGGAAAACAAAATTACCCTTCTTCCCATCCTAGGCTAAGTTATCTATCCTTGAGCAAACACATACCACAGGAATGAAATAATTAGATTTAAGGGATGGCATCAAGTGATTACCACCCTGATAAGGCACATCTGGAATGTAGCTTTTGAATTGCCTATTTAAAAGCCCTCTATTCCTCTCTTTGATGGTCAGATTAATAGCCTCTGGGACAGGAGTCCCTGTTTTTCTCCTTTGCTAGGAAAGAACTATAACTTCTTTTTCTTTTTTTTTTCAAAACCTTGTCTTCATGATTGGATTGACATTGAGAACAAGGACAGAGCTTTTGATAACACCATGACAGTCAATCTGATAACTGTAATGGGTGGGTGGCATATATATCATAGGTATATTGGACAAAGAGATGATTACTGTCCTGGGCAGAAAAAAACCTAAGATTTCACTCTCACTCAGAAGATTTAACAATTAAAAACTTATGGTGTATTTCTGTAATCTTCTATGTCATACTTTTGAACTATAGTTGACCATGGATAACTAAAGCCATGAAAAGCAAACCACAGATAAAGGGGAACTACCTTATTGATTCATGGCATTTGCAGTGCAATCCAATGAAGTAACTCTGATATTTCCTAATTAAAGAATGAAGCTAGGGGGGCTGGGGATGTGGCTCAAGCGGTAGCGCGCTCGCCTGGCATGCGTGCGGCCCGGGTTCGATCCTCAGCACCACATACCAACAGAGATGTTGTGTCCGCCGAGAACTAAAAAATGAATATTAAAAATANTCTCTCTCTCTCCTCTCACTCTCTCTAAAAAAAAAAAAAAAAAAAAAAAAAAAAGAATGAAGCTAGGGACCCTGAGTCAGTCTGCTAGAGTCCATATCCTAATTAGTTATGTGATTGTTCAGCCTTCGGTAGCCAGTTAATCTCTGAGCCTTAGTGTCCCCATCTCACCATGGGAATAATAGCCAAATACTTGTTACAGAGTGAGGCTCAGAACTTCCCTGATGCTGTACTCATGATATCTGCTCCCTTAATGAGACTGTCCACTCTGCGGATCTCCCCCATGTCACTTCCTCACTCCCTACCTCCTGAAGAAAAAAGCCTGGTCTTTCTGATCTGGCATCTGAGTCCCTAATGGGAACCCTGGCCACTTCCTTCCCATCTCCCTTCCACACTTCGACACAAAGCTGGTTTTAGATCTTTGCTCTTTTTCTTCTTCTTGATTTGGGACAGCTTAGTCCTGACCAATCAGACTGGCATCACCTGAGTGTGCATCCCAGGTAGGGACCATAGAGAGAGGGATCCTGGATCTCTGGGGCTTTGTTAACTTGAAATCTCAAGTTCTAGAGCCTCAGCTTGGATGGGAAAAGATAACCTTTTGTTTTCACTAATCTCTAGTCAAAATTTAGTCTTTCCTCTCATGGTGAATGGAGACAAAGCACAGTAGGATGAGTAGAACCTGTGCACTGGTCTTGGGTAGAAACCAGAGTGCTTTTGAATCAATAACAGTTACTGTATACATCTAGAAATATGCTTCACCCTCTCACTGCTTCCAAATGGTGGAAATTGCTAATTTAATGCATTATTTAATGTGTTTACTTTGAGGAATATGCATTACTTATCACACTTTTACCTTTTTAATTAAAAATTATCTTATTAACTAAAATACTAAATAGCTTTATTGCAACGTAATTGGATTCCTTCGAAATCCTGTGTATTTCACGTTACATATTGAACGCAAAAACGTTCCCTGAGAAAAGTTCCACCTTTTAGGAACGGGTAGAAACTCCGACTCCATATACTAGTGCTGCCATCTAGCGTCTGCACTGGGCCTCTCTTTAGTCATCTGCAAACTGAGACAAGTCAGCCCTCCTAATCCAAGGGTTCTGCTTCCTGGGATTTGACCAAGGAACCACAGATGGAAACTATTTGGGAAAAAAAAAAAATCGCATCTATACTAAATATGTATACACATAAATTTTCAATTTCTAAACAATAAAGCATAACTACGTAACATGATATCATTATGTTAGGTGTTATTGGTAATCAGGAGATAATTTAAAGTATAAATCAGGTTGTACGCAAATACTATCTTATTTTATTTAAGGGACCTGAGCATCCATGGATTTTGGTATTGGGCGTCCTGACACGTTCTCCTCAAAATATCGAGGGATGACTGTATGTTCTAAGAGAGAAATGGCTTCTTGTAGGTAAAGTACTTAGGACAGATCCTGGCATAAAGGACACCAGCTAGGACTTCTCTTGGGCCTGTGGTATCTGTGCAGTTGAGGTGGGTATGCCTTGTGGTGCGGTAGGGAACTCAGGAAGTGGTCATGCCTGCGCGCTGGGTCGGCCAGCTCTGCGCACAAAACTGAAACTAGGAAACAATGGAAATTCCAAACCAGGTCAGAAAAACCCCTGATGTTCTTTCTCATTCTCCAGCCCCGCCAGGGAAAGCAAAGGAGGGCTATTTCCGGACAGGGGCCCTGGAAGCCCCTCCACTCTGGACCGCCCCTTGCTTCAGGCGGGTGGCAGGGAAGGTGCGGGCTGCCCTCACATCCAAGCTCCCTTCCTCCCAACAAAGCTTCCCCAGGGTCTTCCAGGAGCACCCGGCCCGTGGAAGCCCTTGCTGCGTTGTCTGGGAGGGGCCTAAGGAAGTTATGCCCCGGGCTAGGTCACACTTCTGTGGGGTCACCGTCAGCACCTGTTTTACGCTCCTCCTCGGCCTCCCGCGGCCCTACCCGCAGGGCTGTTCCGGGCTAGCGAAGCCAGAGTGGGAGGCGTCAAACAGGAGCCGGGTCCAGCCCAGGGCTGCTTGCCTCCTCTCGGATTGGGGATGGGTTCTCCAAGTCTTCATTACTCCAAACCCTGGTGGAAAACATGGGGTCGGCCCTGAGCCCCCCTCCTCTCCCTCAACCGTCTCGATCTTGATCTCTCACCTGCTGCGCGCTCTGGCACCAGCTCAGACAGCAGCAGCAGCAGCAGCAGCAGCGACGGCGCCAGCCCGACTTGTGCGCTCCTGAGACTTCGCTGGCCTTTGGCCTCCAGCTTCGCGCACTCCGCTGGAAGGGGGATCCTGGCAGAATGCATCCTAAGACCTTGGGGCACCAAGCCTGGAGGCGAAATACAGCTGACGTCCCAACGCGGAACCTGCCCCAGGCGAAATAAGCGGAAGTGTGGAAGCTCAGCACTTAGAGGGCTGAACCCTACATCTGGCATCTCGGGGCTTGAGTTTCAGCGCCGCAGCGCCCCCTTGCGTTTCAGCAGCCAATCCCGCAGCTTGTTGACTGCCAGGAGCTGGCCAGCAATGGTCGAATAGGGGAGGATGCCCGCCGGGCTTGTCCCAGCGGACAATCCCGAGGTTCTTCCATTCTGCGTTTCTCTCCGTTGGTCCTTGGGAATAGAATCCCAAGTAAAACAAGAAACCAATAGTATTGATAATTGAGAAATAAAGGTTACGTGCTTCACTACCTTTTGAAATGAGATCCAGCTAATGCCATTTAAAAGTAGTGAGGCGGCTGAGCGTGGTGGCTCACACCTGTAATCCCAGCCACTCAGGGAGGCCGAGACAGGAGGATTGGGAGTTCAGAGCCAGCCTCAGCAAAATCAAGGTGCTTAGCAAATCAGTGAGACCCTGTCTCTAAATAAGATACAAAATAGGGCTGGGGGTGTGGTTCAGTGGTTGAGTGCCCCTGAGTTCAATCCCTGGTTACCCCGGACCCCCCAAAAATAGTGATTAGCGGATTAGTGTCTGCGCTTGTCATGTGACTCAAAAACATTTGTGGTTTCCTTTGGGGCCCAAGACACTGGTTCTGCTAATTCTGCTTAGCAGAAGGAAACACTTTCAGCTACAGGTTAGTGAAAATAAAGTTTATTTTCCTCATCCAGATTCACAGACCCTCCTGAATTTTGACCAGGGGCCCCCGAATTCAGGAAAGAGTTTTCAGCTGAGTGGATTTTTGAAAATTGTTGGGGACAACTTTAGTGGTCCCGATGGGGGGGGAAGGTTCCTCACTTTGTGAGTGGGGCCCAGAAGACCAAAAGGCCAGGCTCTGCTCTTTCTGGGAGGCCATCATGTACAAGGTGTTCGGTGAGACTTCACCAGAAAGGAGACCCACTGTGATGATCAAGTCCAGAATACATTTAAGCCATAGTAATGGTAGATTGGCTTTGTGAGAGAGGAAGGAAAAGATCTGTGAGGTCAGTCGCACCCAGCACTTCTTATAAAGGACTTTATGAAAGGTCTGGGCACCCACCCAGGAATCTTGCTTGTGCACTCTTGCATCTCTATGGATAGATGTTCCCTCTGAAGCTGCCACTAGGCCCTCTGTGTTTTGTCTGGTTTCACAGTCTTAGCTAAGAAACACTTCTCTAGGGCTTCTGTTTCAGGGACTTGGTCAACTCTCCCTCATTCTGGCTGTACTTTCACCACTGTGCTTCTATCCAAATATCCAGGGTAGTTCTCCTTCAAGTGTTTTCCATGGGAAACTGAAGGCTGAATCCACCTGTAGGTGCCTCTAAGACTCTCAGATCCCAAGTTGTGGACATCTTACCTATCCCGGCTGAGGACCCCAGGAACTTGGGCAGAATCTTTAGTCTGCTGTTAGCAGGATGGGGAGGTTCCTCATCAAAATAGAATTAATTGCCTCATAGCTAAAACAGTAAAAACAAGTCGGTTAATAAGACAGTCAACTGCTGGGCCAGGAGGCATATTCCTGTAATCCCAGTGATTTGGGATGCTGAGGTAGGAGGACTGTGTGTTTAAAGCCAGCCTCAGCAACTTAATGAGGCCTTAGCAAGACCCTTCTCAAAATAAAATATAAAAGCCTGGGGATGTGGCTCAGTTTTTGAGTACTCCTGGGTTCAATCCCCATTACCAAAAAAAAAAAAAGTCAACAATTCTAAAATCAGTAATGTTAGTACCAGCAACATTAATTACTTCTACTTGAACACTGGGCAAAGCTTCCTGCTGGCCAGGACTTCCATAGACTTCTGTAGTATATGCAGAGAGAACACAGCAGAAATATAGACTCTCATTGAGGGGATCTCATTGTGTTTTGAAGACAGTCTCTTTGAGCAAAGCTGAAGCTGACTAATATAGGATGTTGAGAATCATATATATATATATATATATATATATATATATATATATATATATATTTTGGTTCGTGTGTGTGTGTGTGTGTGTGTGTGTGTGTAGAGGGTTGAAACTGGGAATTGAACCCAGGACATTGAGCATCCTAGGCAAGTTCTGTACCACTGAGCCATGCCCCCAGACCTTTTTATTTTTAAATTTTGAGACAGAGTCTCACTAAAACAAAAGCTAACAAAAACATGGTCATGGCAACATCATGCTTGAGAAATATGTTTTATGGCACAAACCTGTCTCCTGTATAACAAGGGGCATAGCTGGGACCTAGCAACTCTGTGGGATAGATAGCCTTTCAGAGCTGGCAGGCCTTTCAGGAAGGGCTGGCTCCACACTAAAGGACAAGTCAGTACACCTGTTCCTTCTTCACCGTGTGGGCCGAGAGGAGTCATCCACTGTCCCTGCCTCTGCCTATAGTGTGGTCTCTAAACACCTGTGTCTGGAGCTGGGCATGTTTCTCCTACCCAGCAGAGAGGATGGAGGAAATGGACAGGACAAGAGGACTCAGAACCTGTGAGCAGGCCGTCCCAAATGTCTCCAGTCCAGAAAAATCATCATTTGACTCTAAAGGGTGACTCTGCGTCTCAAGGAACCTCTATATGTGACAAAGCTCAACAGTCCTTATAAGCTACTCCTGTGGTGAAGCCCATGCCTGCTTTCCTTAATGCTAGGGAGAGGATTGGGGGGTAGAAGGTGAGATGAGGAAAAGAGAGAGAGGAGGAGCTGTTTCCAGTTTCTCTTGGGAGAATGCTCACTGGTCAGAAAGGTCCTGCTGGCTGTTGTCACAGACCATCTTCTCTAGGAGGTCATTCCCTGCAAACAGGACACTTCTTTTCCCTCTTGTGTGAAACCTGTCTTCTTATATATTTCAAAACTCCCCAGTCAACAAGAGGATGAGGAGGATGAGAAGGACATGGGCTCTAAAGCCAATCAGTAGTTGAACAATGTCATTCTGAGGTGGTTTCTTCCAGGTAGGAGGAACAAGCCAGTTTTCCCATCCCCAGGACCAACTCCTTAGCCTCAGAAGCCCTAGAGGTACCTACTGGGGTAGAATCAGGCACACAGCTGGGTACATGGCTAAGCTTGTGGAATAATAGGGGGGCCCCAATATTGTGGGGACTTTTCTAATTAGCCCAGGAAGGGGCTCCCCTATCCACACTCTGCGTCTCAAGGAACCCCTATATGTGACAAAGCTTATCAGTCCTTATAAGCTTCTTGCCTGAGGCCATTGTGAAGGTCTCATTCAGTTTTGTTATTCTACTTGGCAGGTGTATCTCAGCTCCTCCAGGGACACCTCCAACATCCCATTTCTGCAAGGTGCTGTCTCCTACATGTTCACATCCTTTGCCAAGGGCTGTTTGTAGCAAAGCCAGATCACAGAGAAGTCCCTAGTAGAAATCCATAAGCCCAGAACTTCAGTGTGGTCTCCCTGTGGGTTGCTCACAGGTTGGTTTACCCACATGGAGGAGAGTGCAGGGTGAGGGGTGCTGGATTTTCTTGAAGAGGGTCTTCTCCCACACTTTCTCTATATTCATGGGGTACAAAAGTGGGTGGGCAGGATTTCTCACTCACCTCTTTTCTAGCTTTGACTGGGCCCGTGATCCCCTTCCAGTATGAGAAGGCTCTTTCCCTGTCCCTGTGATCTTCCTGGTTTCTGGAGGCAAACTTTTAGCAGGGAATAATTACTTTCATACCTGGAGGTTTCTGCTATGAGGGCTGTGAATGCAGAGCACCTGAGAACTCCATCAGCACTTCCACCAGCCAGCTGGAGCCCCAACCTTCTCTGTGAGATGGGAGCACCCCAATTTTCTCTCAGATTTTAGGTGGATGCTCCAAGGGCTGGATGAAGGTGTTTGGTTATTCACAAAGAACTATTCAGTTGCTGATAAAAACAATTCCTCTACACATCTGATCTTTGAATTTCTAGAAATTTACTATTCACAGCTATAAATTATAACCTACCAGGACTTTGGTAAAGAAAACATTAAAAAAGGAAAGAAAGGAGGGATGATTAGCTAGTATGACACATATAATGTGAGAGTCTGGCATAATGCAGGGTACACAGCAGGTGCTCAATAAATGTTTGGAGCAGTTATTTAGAAATCTGAGTTCAACACTCAAGTTAAGGCTGCTGTCTGCCAACTGCCTCCAACATCATGAAGGGAGACGGAGGTTGAAAAGTACACCATATTTTTGCCTGTACAAAGAGAACAGCCAAGAAAGTGTTTATCTGGAAATATCCAGTCTGTAAGTGAGATGATGGAGATTCATTTGCATTTACAGGGCATTTTCTGGTAGTGCTGCTCAACCTGCTCACCAATCCACCAAGTTCTGGTCATGAATAGCCTGTCCTGACCATATCCTCAATTTAGAAGACACAAACAAAAGACAGACTCCCACGGCCCCCGATTCTCTCACTCACACTCATGCACATATGCTCATATAAATATGCACATGTTTGCATGCACATGTGCATAGACACACAGGAGGGCAGGAGATGCCCCTTGCCAATTCCCCTCCTTCCTTTTGCAGAGCACTCAAGAGAGCCCTGCTCCCTGTTACATGCATTGATCATAATAAAAAGAAAGTCATTTTACCTATGAACAGTTTTTCACACCTTACCAAATACTCATGACTTCATTCAGTTTCTGTACAAGTGTTAGAGGTTCATGCAGTTTATCAATATTTTCCAAGTGAAAGGATGGAGGTGCAGGTGGATGTTGCTGGATAGGGAAGCAAATCTCAAGTTACATGTGCTCTTGCTCAAATCCCACCCTGCCCATCCTCCTCTGTTCCATAACCCCCCACAGTTCCTACTTAATTAGTATAGTCCCCTCGTGTATTAATGGGTGCTTTCCTTCTGGGTTTTCTTTCTTTCTTTCTTCTTCTTCTTTTTTTTCTATGCGTGTGCTGAAGATTGAACTCAGGTCCTCACACATGCTAGGGAAGTGCTCTACCCCTACCCCAACACCCCCATCCCTAAACTAATTTTCAATCCTTCTTGTAGGAAGGCAGCCTCTGCCCACAAGAAGTACCCAGGATGAGCAATGAGGCATCTTTTAGTCTGTCT